ACCCGGGGAAAAATTTAGAATTGGTATAGCACAACTTCCGATTTACGCTTCTTGCCCGTAACTAAAAGAGAAATTTTTCTAATACTAAGGGGGAACAGCGCTTGACCAGCGACCGATCACACTAGTGGCGTGTGACCAGGAACGAATTATAGATACCGATAGGCAAAAGTTTCTCGGCAAGGAAGGTGGACGATTCGTGTCTTTGACGGTTGGTGTAAATAACTTCATAAAAAAACTTACAATACAATGTTTTGTTGGTCTGTACAAGCACGGCGGCATCCATTTTGTCAGTCCCTGTAAGAACGGACAGTTGTGTCAAGACGTGCGGGTTTTAGTATATCTTAGTTTTCTAGTACAATAATTTACTGTTTGAAAGTGAACGTTTGTTTTAATTGTAAATTAAGATGGAATTTCTTGTCAATTTTCTTAAATGTTACAATACCAGACAAAATATTTTTGAATTTGGCAGACCATAGTTCAAATGCGGGGCAATTTTTGATTTCCGTGGCGTACGCGTCGCGCAGTGCCAAGTTTCAGTATGACCGTGGAGTATAATGTATGAAATGCAATTTCGTTCTTTATTTTTCATTGTTTACTTTAAGTATATATTCAGCTTGTGTCCAGAAATCTGGGCCACTTTTGTCCCCAGATTTCTGGATTGGTCCCAAACTCGCATAATATTTCATCTAGTACTGTAGTAATAGAGAGAAATTGGAGAGATTAGTGGAAGCGAAGAGTCTCTTTTCCATACCCAACGTGCATTTGATCAGACCCACAATGGGGGCGGCCGAATAGTGAGCTATGGGCCCAATGTACCTGGAACAGACCACCTTTCAGAGATTCCTGGAGAATTGAAAATTGCTCTCCTGGATTCGATACCGGGTCCCCAGAAAGGCCTTCCCCGCCTTGACAAACAATACAGGTCAAGAACTTTTAGTTTCAAATGTTTCGTCGAAAAAATAAATGATTACGGATGCTAGTTTTGACTTCTCATTTTATAGTACAAAATCAGAAATTCACTGTCTTAGCCAGAAGTTTTGGATCTTTCATATTCTATGTACAGTACTTATTTGATGGTTAACGTTGATGTAATAATTAAACATTTCACAGCTGTATGTTTTGTAATCAGATTAAAGCAAAAACTAAATCTGGAGTTTGCAAGAAATTGGCATTCACAAAGTCGAAGAACGCTAATAGATTGTTAACCCTTACTCGGGAGGATGGTGATTTTGAGTTAAAATTTGGAGTTGCGTAATTTTCCCGGCTTTTCAATTTTATTTAAAAAAGCTTTTATATTATTAATCATAATAAATAAAACTGTTTGTGGCGCCATCTGTTAGAAAATTTTTACAACAAAATCTCATATATTTTTAATTATTATAAAATGGCAGACTTACTTTTGAGGGTAGAGACGAGTTTTATAAAAACTGTAAATACGAATAATAATTAAAATCGTTAAGTCCGACCCACGCGAGATGTGACACGTAACCACTGTCTCCCCGTCCCCTCGACCTTTCATAACCAAAATTTAATAGCATCAATGGCCCTTTTATACGAACTACGATGCCAAATTTTGTTTTTTAATCTTCATCTCATCCTGAGATATTAAAGGAAATAGATGCCAACACACACCCTCCACGAAATTTTTACTTTTTAGATTCAGTGGGTCTCGAAACGTGGAGATTTGCAAGAAACTCGGAGGATCAAATTTGACACGATTCCAATACTTTCTCTTGTTATATAACAAAAGTGGGAAAGTAAATCCAGTAACGAGTTGCTTAACTTTCAGGCAACATCTTATTATCATTATCAACCCATCTCGATTATAAGTGCAGAGCCCAAACGGTTAGGAGTCGAAAGTTGAAATTTGGTACATAGGGTACGTCACGAGAATGTACAGTACACTAACCCCCGTATTCACCAACACGAGTTAAACAGAGAGTTGACGAACTCGAGTTTAGATGTAACTCGAAGTCAGATTATGAGTTACTCTTCTTTCGTATTCAGATAAAAATTTAACTCTAGAGTTTCGCTACTCTAGAGTTAATATTTTAAAACAATCCTGCGTTCGAGATTAAACAAGTCTTCTTTCGTAAGCAGAGTTTTGATTGGTTGAAAGCAAACACGTGTATGAACCAGGAGGAGACGAATAGAATAGAATAGAAACACGTGTAGAAAATGGCGGAAAGTGAAATGGAAAGCAGTGCACGTCGTAATTTTTCTAATTTTGAGAAGGAAATTCTACTTGAATTAGTCGAAAAATATAAATCGATCATTGAAAACAAGAAAACAAATGCGATTTCTTCCAAACAGAAGAGAGGCACATGGGAAGAACTAACAAAGGAATTCAATGGTATCCCGGGTGTCACCCTTAGAAAAACCAAACAGTTATTGGACTGTTATAAGAATTTAAAAAAGAAAGCCGTGAAAGAACAGGCACAAAAAAAAAGCCGAATTATTTAAAACAGGAGGAGGAAACCAATTCGTTCTAATAGGTTTCTTACGCTCTCTTTTGGCAAACGATATCGACATAGAAAGTCGTAATCGTCCAATTGTTCGAGGTCATTTTTTCTTGGAGAAATAATCCGCCGACTTCTTCGTTCCATACGATCTATATAATCTAAATATTTCAGATTTTCTAGCATCTCGGCTTCGTCTTCGTCGAATGTCGCCATTTTTCTCTGAAATAGACCGCTTTGCGCAGGCGTCAAACCTAGAGTAGAGTTAGAGTTAGGGTTATTGTGTTTGACTCGAGATTCGGAGTTGGTGAATACCAATTTACCAGTAACTCGAGAGTTAACCCGAACTCTAACTCGTGTTGGTGAATACGGGGGTAAGAATGGATTTTTCGAAATTCCCGCCGCGGGGGAGAGAGAGAGGAATAACGCTAGCAGATTCACGCTCTACACGTCTTTTTCGTCTGGTGGTTTCTCTTGGAATGCAAAAAATTCAATTTTTCCTGTATGTATGGATGTTTGTGGGGCGTGAATTTTGTTCACCCACTTTAAAGCTTAACTCCTGTGTTTTTTGTCGGAAATTTCTGAGATTATGCAGGGAGGTTTGTTACGAACGTACTCGGAGGGTCGAACCACCCTAATTTAAATGGAGACACAGACTTTAATTATATTTAATTTAATTATTATTTTAATTTCCGACAAAAAACACAGGAGTTAAGCTTTAAAGTGGGTGAACAAAATTCACGCCCCAAAAACATCCATACATACAGGAAAAATCTGAATTTTTTTGCATTTCAAGGTTTCTTGAACAAAAATTTAGGTAAAAATCTTTGGCGATCGGTCAAAATATAACCCCCACTTTGTTATATATAATAAAGCGGGGAAAGTAAAAAGTGTGACGTTACATACTTCAGACCAGCGGGGTTGACAGATTTACATAAATGCTTAGTAAACAGAAGACACCTAATTTTTGAATACTAATTGGTCGTTCTATTTACTTAATTACGTGAATAGAGGACGATTCATCCCCGCACGTGGAGTTCCATTAGAACAATGAGCTACACTTATAACATTAAATTGATACAGCAATTATAGACGCGTTTATGACACTGAACATAATTTCACAACAAAACAGTACTGTTCCGAAAAGAAACATTACCCAAGAATAACAGGTCACAGGTCATTTCAATGTCTTTAGGTCTAAAAGCACTTGACGATCCGGCGCTCTGCAAGAAAGGACCGGATTAGCAAGATTCTGGCGTGTATCGGGATCAGACAGGTGGCGCGAGAAAGCTCTTAAGTGGAATAAGAGGAGTCGGTGGGAAACTGACTTAATGTTTTTTTTTCTTAAACAGGGAGTTGTTGTACAACCAAACCAAAGAGCCGGATGAGGCTAGATTCAACGTGGCCGAATACGTGCGTCAGGAAAGTCAGAGGGCGTCGACCGGATGTTGCAGTTAAGAGTGCCATTTCCGAAAGGAAAACAAAAAAAACTTTTAGACGCCGACCCGAGACGACGAAAATCGGAGGGTCGAAGGTTATAAGCCGAAAGGCGGATGTCTGTCGACAGGACTGTTTTCGATCCTCGTTTCTAATTTTAACATTTAAATAGATATTTAGCCGTTAGTGACGACGACGAGATTTTCGTCGTTGGCGTTGTCGTCCAACCCGGTTTATCATCGTTATTCTTGTTGTTGTTATCGTTATTTGAATGTTGTCCTCTCGGTAGGAATTAATAATTTAATCGTGTTGACGTGTATAAATAATATACAGCTGTTTCGAAACGAGTCTCGCCCATCAAAATCCGGCGACGCGTCGTCCTTGTTGTTGACACAAAAATATCAAAAAACGACGTCAAACCGGGGAATTCTTTCTTTTCTATTTGGTGTAGTCGCTATTTACTCGGACGGAGGTCCGAACATCCCCTTTAGATTCGCTTGGTGCCTTTCTATAGCTTGAGTTCACCTTTAAGAGAAACGCCACACGAGTCGAGTAGAGAAGAAAAACACTAACATACCGCAAGTCGTTCCTACGCGCACTTCTATTTTATATACATGTACACACATCTATTTGCACTCTAATCGCAAGTCTATATTTTAAAAAAGAAGAGAAAAAAGTAATTTTATGAAGAAAAAAATCTATAAACGTATATTCTCAGTTACTCGAATTGCATTTAAAGAAACAAACCGGCAGACCAAATCGTAAGTATACGTAAAACCGATTTTCATTTGTCTTTTCTCCAGTCTTCCAACAATACGCTTCGACACGAGTCCCCTTTACGAAAGGTCGGATTTTCAGGCAGGAAAGGCGGGAGAATTGGAAGACTGCTGGTCAGTCGTGGCTTTGGACTGGAAACTTTTTAAAGGCTTCACCTCTATCTTCGTTGCCTTACGTTTTAATAGTCATTTATATATATTTAAGGCTTGTATTCTTTCATTTTGTATTTTGTAGTAACCGTTAGGTAAGCGAGTTTTAGAAAACCGGTTGTGTTTTGGCAACAATACCTGGTGTATATCTTGGTAATAAAAAAAGAGAGACAAGCGGTTTTGGTCAATCGTCTTTTAATCTTTCGTGACTTTACGAACATGAATTCGGTTGGCGTGGATGAATTACCGACTTGTTAATATCACAACTTGCGGTTAACGATAGGAAACATTCAACGAACGGCGACATTCCTTTTTTCGTCCGTATTATAACGTTTAAATACACAAAAATCTCATTTTTTCTTCACCCGGTAATATCCATAAGTTAGGCAAGGCTACACAGAGCAAAATTTCAAATAGGAAACGAATGGCGATAAAAACGTTAAGGGAAAGTGCTATGTACAAAGCTAGGCCTTCGCTCGACGACCGGAATATCCAACAAACCAAGCAATCGGCGACGACGAGCTACCGTCGTTTAATCACTTCTAATTGGGTATCAAATTGGCTAGGAAAGTCTCCGCGCGGCATCCAGACTTTTCCATCACCTTCCGTTTCGTCATTCGAGTCACTGGATTTTGCTGTAGGTGCAACGGTAAAGGCGAAGGGGGAGAGAATCGTGCAGTCGACATTCGAACGATATTAATTTGTTAAAAAAATAGCGTAAAAATTTCACGTATAGAATAAAAACACCAGCGACTGTCAAATTCAACAATTCTAAAATTGAAGATGACTTCGATAATAATATATTTTACAATTTGTTTTAACAAACAAAAGGAAAACTCATCAAATAATTGATGGCACAAAATATTAACAAAATAAGTAAAAACAATTTATCTATATTATGGAATTATCGTCTATCTTTTGAGAAATAACACTTAAACACGTATGTAACCTTTCTTCGAGTCGACGAATTGTACTATAAACCATCTGCCAGAGATATGCGCTCTGACGTAACGTAAAATAAATAATAAAATCGATAAATATTACAATGCACGGACTAGACTATCTCCATATTGCTCTGGTGACTCCATTTTCTTTGTATTGCACTGTGTTTGGTATGGCGAGAATTTAGAAGAGAAAATGACTAATTAGCCCAACGGAAGGAGAGAAATAATCGGAAAGACAAGTGACGATTGTGCATTTTAGTTTCACACTCGCGAATTGGCACTGTTTAGTTTCGATCCAGGGTAGTGTAGGGGAAGTAATACATAGTCTGCGGCAGGTCCAGCTGCCATTGGCTGGCGTGGAGCTCCACTAATTCCAGAAGCGTCTTGCGGATTTGGGTGGATATGGACGGATCGATAAATGCATCTCTCATCAGAGCGATTATCTGTTGCATGCGCTGCAGGGAATCGCTTTCCAGTTGTCGTCCTATGGTGGATAACAACGAGCGAAGGCATTCGATCTGAAAATTTCCGTCGGAGGTCTTAACTTCCGGAGAATAAAGCGCGAAATTAGAAGGAACAATTAACTTACCTCGGCCACGTTGTTGAGGGAAGGCGGTTTCAAAATGATCTGGCAGCATTCGAAGATGAGCACGGAGAGAGTCAGAGTCTGATTGGCTGCGGCAGGGGTCTGAGCCGTCGTGTTGGAACCGGTACTTTCGGCGTTGTTGGCCAGGGTGACCGTGCGATGGTGACTTTTCAGGCGTAGATATAGTTCCATTAGAAAAGAAACGTACGCGGTCCATCGTTTCGATCCCGCTCCGTTGCCGGAAACGAGAATGTTCGTTCCGGAAATCGAATTTCTTAGAAGTTTGTCTTTCTCGTTATACCACTCTCGACAAGAGTTCAGGAGGCTCTCCAGGAATGTGTTGCCTTTCTCCTTCTGCAATACATTCGTTAAACACCGATGAAAATGATTAAAAAAGTGTATTTCACTCGAACTGATTTCCTAGAATGGCTCATTACACTAAAACTAAATGTATTGACTGATGAGAGAATTACGTCTCTCCCTTTACAAAGAAATTAAAAATTCATTTTGCAAGTTACACAATTTACTGAAATTTCTTCAAGCTGTATGATCCGACAAGTTACCTCTTAACTATACAATAACGGATCTAGAAATCTTTACAAGGGGTTGTAAAGAAACAATATTCCTTACAAAATTTTTTAACACCTGAGGTACCCGATTTTACTCGGCAAAACCCTATAAGAGATGCAGCTGAGCCCTACGCACCCCCCCGTAAATCCGCCCTTCTACATTCGTGGCCTTTCTTTTTTAATAATTATAATATAAACATAGTTTTTTCTAAATATTGTTCTCTGATATTATAGTTGTTGTTTTACGTGAAAATATTAACAAATATTTGGATTAAAATTTTAATTTCGAGTAACACCAAGTAATCGAGTTTGTCATTGTCTGAATAGAATCTAGAGTTACCTTTGTATAGAATCTAGAGTTACCGGGTTATCTTTTAATATTTTTAGCGCAGATAGACAATAGGCACTGGCAATTTTGAATCATTTTAGCATTCGTGGTGTTGCTCGCTCAGATTCGATCCCGGGTCCCTCAGGGTAAGCTGCAGCTTTAACCGCCTCGGCCTAGGTGGAGTAATGATGAAAATAAGAAATACGTATTAGACTATTCAGAAAAAAAGGAAACACTATGTGTGTATTATTTTGTTATATGTAATGTAAAGATGGCCTCCCCGCAACACGAAGGAATTCGTACGAATCAAGATCGCGAATTATTTGAATTATATGGACCAGAATATATTTCGGGGACAAAGGGATCAAAGTTTTTGTTAATAGAAGGGAAAAGAAATAATTCAAATGAGCGTGTAAAATTATGAAGTTAGATAAGTTATATATTGCTCTTAAAAACAAAGTTGTCTTCCGTCTCCTTCTTCGAAGGCCCCCTTTTACACATAGTAAAAGGTAAAACCACGATTGAATTTGTCAGTTCTCTGCAAGACTTATTTCCGACGTAAACGAAAGAATGATTTCAATTCGATATAGAATCTCGCAATAATATAGCTGTGTATTTATGATGTGTATTTATGCCTTGCTCGGGCGGCACGAACTCTAGCGCCAGCCGTGGCGCTAGAGTTCGTGCCGCCCGAGCAAGGCATACATTTGACGCCTCTTATCTCCCTACATAAAACGAAAAAATAATGGACGACAAGAAAACTAAACAAAACAGAGGAGCGAAATACTTCGTAAATGCTGACAGGAACTGTTTGACACGTTCCCACTGCCTCTAAGAACCATTGTTAGCAGAAAAATAACTGAAAGAATGGCCAATACACTCGAATATTAATTTCTGAATTTATTTGTAAATAATTGTATTCGATAAAATAAGTGAATTTCTAATGAAGCATTTTATTGAAAGCAATCGTTTACAATAAGATTTACATTAATCTTGTTCTCTGAAAGTGTTGACATTCGTGGCACTTCGCTACCTGAGGCCACAAAAAACTAATTTTTTTATTCGAAAATTGTCTCCCCCATGTACTTGTTAAGGTGTTATAACCAGTGGCGCGTTTAAATCCCCAGGAATTTTTCGAGGGGTGGTCCGTTCGTATATGTCGGGCCCGACATATACGAACGGACCACCCCCCGAAGCCCTCACCACCCGGCAGCCCCATTGTGGGCCTGGCTAAACCCATAATGGGCTTGCAAAAAAGAGGCCCTCTTAGTGCCCACAGGGTGGAGTTAAAAAAAAAAACAGTGGCGCGTTATAGCTTCGTAGGGACCCAAGCAAATTTAAATTTAGGGAATCATGTAGTGTTGACATGAATTTTTCTTCGGAGAATCCCGATGTCATTCGTTTTTTAACGCAACCTCTGGGATATAAGTGAAAATTAATGGTAACCGGAGACGCGTTGTGTGTCAAGTAACCCTTTTTTATCATTACGACTACTGTCAGTTTAATCACTAGTACAAACCTTTGGTGTATAATCATGACAGCGGGATGGCTGAGCAGTTAACGTGATAGCTTACTGCTATGAGGATGCAAGATTGAATCCAGATAGATAAAAAAAAGAATCCCCGGGAATTTTTCGGGGGCAGTCTGTCCAGATATGTCGGGACATGTCCCCCGCACCTGGCTACCCATTGTGGGCCTGGCCAAACTCAATGGTCTTACTAATAATAAAAAAAAAAGCATAAAGAAAAACAAATTGTACTGTATTCAAAATAAAAATTTTACTTAATTAAATTATGCCTCTTAAGACAACCTAATTTGGTTAAATTGCTTGAACTATTTTGCAATTTATTGTTAAGAATTTTTATAGCTATTTTTTTACACTTGAACTTTTGAAATTAACCACCGCTTCTGGAGCACTTTCAGGCAGTAAAGCGCATTGACAGAATAACCCAAATCAAACTTCATAACATAAGTAGTTAGTAGCTATTCACTTACATTAACACAAAACCATTGACACTGGAAAAACAACTTTTCTGTCCCTGCTAGGTGAGTTAATATAATTTTCACAGAAGGGGCAGGATGGCTGGTATTTTTCGAATTTTCTTCATCTAAATAAGAACTAGGAACTAATTCTTTGTTTCCCATAGAAAGTTCTCTCTTGGTAGATTGCTTTGCTTCATTCTATCAAGTCTGAAACTACTCAAGAAGCAGTGGTTAATTTAAATTCTGTGCACTCCAATGAAACAAATTTTGAATTTTATTTTAATCATTTCCAGATTAAATAAATCTAACTAAAATTTCAAAATTGGGAAATTGATTTAAAAGAAAATAACTTTACAAAATTCAATATAAATTCATTAATCAGATGCAAATTTTACTAGCAAAATTTCAAAGAAAATAAATTGCTGAATGACAAACTGAAATTGTAACTTTGGAAAACTGAATACTTTACTAAGATAATCAGACAGCATTTTCTAATGATTGGAATATCTATTTGTATTGAGAGATGCATCAAAACAAAGTTTATGCACTACTTATTGAAAACTTTATTGGTTAAATATCATTTAAATTTTGAATTGGAAAGTGATAGTTTATAAAAATATTATAGAACTTTATTTCTAAAATGATTGTTAAGTCAATAATCATTTGAAAAGAAATTTAAATGGTCTACAAACAAATGTCAAAAAAGAATGGGATTTACTAAGTTTATGAAATTTTAGTGTTTATATACTAAGATAAGTAATTGGCAACCTATTACATACAAAATGACTTTTTATAGCGTGCAGTAGGCTTATAGCACAGAAAAAACAAAAAATTATATATAATAAATACAACTAACCCAGTAACTATTTCAAATAACAAATGAACGGTCAGATTCCTTCGTTGAGCTATTAATGTGTGATTATTTATTGTAATGTCGTCACGATGCCAGACTGCAATTTTTGATCATATTTTAATTTTAAAAAATCATCTGACTTTCAGTTTAGACCAGAAGTTTGTTGGGGTTGCCAGTCTGTAAAGCTTTCCGGACTTGTATGAATTTTCAACTAACTCCATTCTTGAGATTAAGGAAAAACAAATAGTGACAGTAGGAATCTGTAGGTCTGTAAGTTGAAAATTAGTCCAAGTGATGGTGGCCTGGCAGCTGCCTGCCAAATTGCTTAGTAATTATTTGGTCTTAAATATCCAATAAGGGAATCCAACTGCCCATTTGGTATTTGAAGTAATTAAAATTAAGTAATTAAAAGTAACACTTACACCATTACATTCATTTTGTGCATTTTTGTTTTTATTTTCATTGTAGAATTATGTATTTTGAAATTCCACTCAGTGTGTTTAGTTATACTAGAAATTTGTTCATTACATTACCCAGGTAGGAAATTATGAAATCCAAAATGCAATAGAAGAATAATTTATAGGAATAGCTGTTCCAAAATCAATTACTTTTTCATACTTGTTCACTAACCATAGTTATTGATTAAAGAATTGAAATTAACTTGATTTTAAGGTTTTTTTTAATTTAAATTTTATGCTAGGCCTATTTCCTTATGTTATTTTTACTTTCCTGGCTGTTATAGAATATAACATAGGGAAATTGATCAGATTTTTATTCCTCATTAGTTTATGGGGCATTGATGCTATTAAATTTTTATGGTTAAAGGTCAAGGAAGTGTGACAATAGAGTGAGTCATGTGTCATATTTTAAGTGAAGAAACTCAATGAAAATTTTACTTGTACTGGCAATTGCAATTTTTTTAAAAAGTGCACTCCTACCCTTTTGGGGGATAATGGTAAGTTTATATATAAGGTTTTATAATAATTAATAATATAAAAATTATTTTTACAAAATCTCATAATAGAGATGGTACCACACACAAGGCACCATCTATATATTTTTAAACTTAACCTGGCGTGAGTGAGGTCGGGTATGTCATACCCGAGAAGATTTTAAACGCAGATTATTTAATGTTATTGTTGCCATGCAAATCCCATTGTCACAGTAGCTGGAGGTAAAGGAGTGGGGGGGGCGAGGCGCAGTGTTGAGTTTAGTGTTCCGCCAGTGTCATCGGGAGATACACATGAGCAAAGGTGGCTGGGGTTTCACACCCGACGGTGTTACATTTTTGAGTTGACAGTAAGTTTACGAGTTATAGTTATTTATAGTATTTTTAGATTTATTTCTAGATTTCTCAAATGATAGTCTTCGCATTGGACAAAAAAAAATACATCTTCCAAGGGAAACTCGAAAAGTGATTACTGAGAGAACCTTCATTATGTGTTTCCATAAAAATGGCTAATAAATATGTCAGGTGTGGTGAGTGTACTAAAAAACAGATAAGAAAACAAAACATTGCTGTTCGAAGTGTGAGAAGCCAAAATGCATGAAGCATGCGATTTTTATGCGTGGAGATTGTGCTGATTTGTAGGTGTAATGTTGGTGCTGTGCAAATTGATCTCATAAGACCTTTTAGTTTTTTTTTTTCTATTTTTATAATTGAAAGATACTATAGTTATGTTGATTAACCAAAGAAGTTGTAATTTTGTTAGAATTTTATACGAAAAAATGTTAAACTACCAAAACTTGTACTTTTTCAAAGAAAATATAGACACTTTGTTATTTCAATTAAAAAAAAATGCTTTTCAATCTTAAACATAATATTTTATTTATAGTATTTATTCATCTTGTTGAATAGATACTATTCTTATTATCCCAAGTAAAAAAATACTTTATACACAATTATAGTATAAAAAATTTGGCATCAAAGTTTTGGGTATCTCCTACCCACCTCATAGCTGGTGTAACAATTTCTCACCTCATTCACGCCGGGTTAAACATTCTTTTTTGAAAATTTTAACAAAATTACCCCTTTTAAACTTTTATTGTTATTTAAATTTTATATCTTAGTATAATTCAAAATAATTAAACTGTCTTCCTTAACCCCTAAGCTTTTTATTAGGTATATTAATTGTCATTCCAACAGTTATCTGCTTGGTAAAAATTGATATGAAAATCTGTCCAGCATTATGTGATTATATGACAAAAAAATGAAGATAATATGATAGACTCCATATTTTTAGGCTATCATCATCTCTATTCCTTGTATTTATTATAGAATTAATTTTGTTATTTTTGACTGTTTTAAGTATTTATTTGAATATCTAAAACAGGAATCACATTTAGCACAATATCAACTTATGATTTTATTCCAAAAAAATTTGAGAATTAATTTTAATCAATATCTTCTTCAGAAGTTTGTGTCTGAAGTTACCTTACAGCATTACAATTCGAATTAGTTTCAAGTCAAAGACAAGCCTAACTTCAAACTTCAAATCATAAAGCAAACAGATTTTAGCTATGTACAGTACACTCATATTCAAATAACCCTAATAATTCAATAGAGCATTTGATAATTAACCTGTATAATTAACAAACTTGCTACATTGGAGTAGTATTTCTTACCAGTCATTCAATGATTCTAGTTTTTGGATTCATCATAAAGATCCAATTTAAAAGTAGAACTTGGACATCTGTGATTTTCATCACTCATTCATTAATTCTAGTTTTCAGATTTATTACGTGATCTCCCATTCGAAAGTAGGGCACAAATTCTGTACAATTGCAGATAAATTGTTACATCAGGTAGGCTATGACTAACTATTCAATTGTGGCATAATTTTTAGTCGATTGCAAATAACATGGACTGTTCTTGTGCAAAAAACTTAACCCGTATAGTTAAAAATTTGACGGAGATTTAAGTAGAATAACTGTATGGTAACACATCAGTATGGTGTGCAGAAGATACAAGGTCTGGCTGCACAACAGGCTGCTTTTTTCTTCCAGAAACTTTTAAATTATTTACTTTAATCTAAATTTATTTCTAATTATGAAATTTAAGATAAAACGACAGCCTAATCATTTTGTTTAATCATTAATTATCCAAATGTAGTCTGGCAATAGTTACTTGGTTTATGGAATTTATAGTCTGCCATTCTGATATATTAATATTTTCATAAAATTGTTATTAGAACAATCTCCTGCATGTCTGACAGACTCTAAACAAATCAAATAAATTTGACTATAGATGGAAATTATAGAACCTCTCAGTTTCTTATTGTCATCTAACAATGATCATGTACAGCTACGTTATTTTATTTTTGAATAAAATCAAAATACTTGTATATTGAACAATCACTATGTATAGAAATATAGTCATCTTTGAATTATAAAAAAGAATAAAAGAAATAATGAGGAATTACTTACTCACAAGTTCTATTAAAAATATAAAAAATAAAAAATCTGCATTATTGAAGTATAATAATAATTTTTCTCAAGCTCTTTCAACTCTAGCCTCAAAAGTGCTTGGTTGTCGAGGAGACATCAAGAGACACACAAGTGAGTCAGGTTATTAGCTGATTCACTTGATTCATACTTTTAAAATTAAATGTCCATTCAATTCAGCATTAAAATGTGAAATTGAAATAACAAATTAAATTTAATTAAGTTAAATTAAGCAATTATCCAGTATTTGTTTTGAACTTTGACTTGAATATAAATGTTGCCTATTATTAAATTGTAAAGCAGTCTCTGACACTGGTCAGTTTGCATCAATTGCCAAACTGCATTTATCATTTTTGATTTTTAACATTTGTCATGAAAGTGTTTTTAATAATGTATTCTTGTACTGTGATAATAATAAAATTTATTTTTCACTACCATTCCATATACAGAATTTGATTACTGTTGAGTGTCATCTTTAAAGAGCATTAATTTTTTCCAACAGACTATATTTATACTATGTGGTACTACAAAATACTAATTAAACAGATTATATAATAGTAGTTATGATAATGCAAGTAACATATTTATACAAAGTATTAACACTTATTCTAACTATCAATAATTAAATTTAATTAATTTACAATACATGTATCTAGAATAATTACAATTCAATCAATATTGATTACAGAATTAAATAAAAAAGTTCACAAAAAGAAATAACTATCATATTAGAATTTTTAGAGTTTGAATCCATACAATTATAAAAATTGTTAAATTTTCTTAAATGCTTGAAAATTCCAAAAATATTTTAAAATCATTAGCAACAAAACTGAAATAATATTTCTAATTCCTTTCTTGAACTACACTGGTAACTGATGTACTATAGGAAGACTTCTTAAACTGTACATACATCACGATACCATTTGGGATTGTGTAATCGAATGTAGGAAGCTGCAAGAAATTTGAACTAAAATTTTATCGCATATTTGTGCAAAGTGGCATTAACAGCATTGATGATTATAATATCAAAATGTCAGTCAACTTTGAAAAACATTGAACATCTTGAAATATCAAATATTCAATCAAGATTTGATTCTTTATATAAAAATAAAACAAACACATCCATCTAATTAGTATAACAATTTGTTTTTGTCTTTAATAAATGGCAATAAATGGTAAAATACACATACCAAAGAATTATTTTATGATTTTATTTGTATACTATTTCATATACCTATATACAGGAGGTCAAGTAAAATTGTCGATTGTTAATGGAAAAAGTTTAAGCACCGTACTAAAAGTGAATTTTCTTCCATAGTAATTAGGTTTAGTAATTACACTTTGCAGTTCTGACATCTACAAATTGATTCGTACCCAAATGAACAAATTATTGTGAGAAAGGGTAAAATGATTGTATAAAAGGGGTGAGAGGCTTAGAGAGACCAAAATGCATTTTGTAAAGAGTAGCAGTGTAGAAAAATAAAGCACTCTGGCAAAAGAATGACCGTGTAGTTTCTATTTTTTGGAATTCACTTTGCTTATATAATTATTAGTATACTAAACATTTCCATAATGAAAACATAAAAATAATAATAAATTTAAATCAAACATTTTTCATTAAAAACAAAAACTGAAACTTTATGAATACATTTTTAAAAATATTTTTGTTCTTTCTAATAAATATGAAATCTACAAAAATAATGAACTAACTAATGTTAAAAGTATTTACCTTCAATACTCCTTTATGAAAACTATTAATATATTGAAAAGGAATTATTGAATTGCAAATTTGATTAGTCATTACATTTATTATTTTAATTTACATGGTACACATACCTCAATAATAGTAAAGCACATCTGAGCTGCCGGTTGGGCATTCTGCAGACTCTCCACTGCCTTGCTGCATATTACTCTCACGACTTCCATCAGTTGTCGCGATGGCAGAGAATTTGGATCTGAAAAAATTTTTACTCAATTAAGTTCTTTGTGAACTCCATATTCCCCATTGTAAAACATGACCTACCGTGTAGTGCTCTCTTTATAATTCCATGATATTCTAATGGAAAACTATCTCGTTCAAATCCCACGGCAGCTACTTCCATCAGGTCTGTTCCTCCAAAACTCTTCGATCTCTGCAACATCATTTTCAGATCCACAGACTTGGGACTGTGAGACGTCTGAAAGTGAACCCTGTGGTTTCCACCGCTTTTGTGCGTCATTTCTGTACTGGCTGAAACCATACCAACGGCATGACAGTCACTGACAAGATTATTGCCATTATTTCCCGCTATGGAATACTGTTTGAGATTAAATGTATTAAAATCTTCAGACATCCGGACACCTATGAAAAATGAAATTTTGTGAATTGCCCACTGCAAGCCTAGAAACAGGGGCACCATAACAGTTGTTTCTCAAAACTATCGAACTTATTGCAGATGATTTTTTGATCAACAAATTTGACCAAAAACAAATCAAAAAAGTGAATAAATAATCACCAAAGAAATCATTTGATATCCATAGGCATTTGTACATTATCATTTTTGACATATTTTATGAATTTGCCCTTTAATTAGGGCAAAATAATTTGAAAAAAAAATTATTGAATTTTTCTTGTTATCAAAGAAATATCCTCAAAAGAGTAATAAATTATTTTATTAAAAAGAAATCTTTTTGACAACCAAATTCAAATTTATAAAGTAGAACAGAGCAAAACAGAATGTTGCAATATATGAGGTCTGTCCAGAAAGCTTTCAAACTTTTTAAATTATGCACTAACCAATAATTGAATCTGAATGCAGGTTACACAACTTTCTAGCAGCAAGTTTTATATACTTTCTACCAAAAGCAGTTTGTTCTATCTTCATTTGTTGTTGTGTTATGTCCCTTTGTGTAAACATGAGTTGATTGTGTTTTGCAATTTTCTTTGAGTGAGTGAGTGTGAGTGAACAGCTTCTGAGACAAGAAGTCCAATGAAAATTTCATGAAAATCATCATCACTGGGATGAGACATGAATCAATGGGTATGATGTGGAAACAAAACTTCAGTCATCAGAGTGAGTGGGAAAATTTTCACCGTGTGATAAGTTCAGTCAAATGTGAAGGTCTTGCTAACTGTTTTGTTCTATTCTGAAAGTGTCATTCACCATAAATACTGTCTGGAGGTAATGAAACATCTTCGTGAAGCAGCAAGGAAGAAAAGACTAACTGTTTGGAGAGAACAGCATCATGAAATGCACCTGCCTACACATCAGTGCTGATAACAGAATTTTTGGCCAAGAACTTTATGCTACTTTTTTCTCAACCTTTAAATTTTAATATCCATTTGAGGACAGAGGAAAAACCAAAATCTCCATTGCCTAAAAAAGGCCTGGGAGATTTATGGATGCTCTGCCCAAACAGAGAGACTTTGGCACTCAGAGTCATCAATTCACTGGACTAAGCCCTAGCGTACTTAGTTTTCTTTCCCAAATTGAAATCCACTCTCAAAATCCACTTTTGAATCCATTGATGCATTTAAGGAAAATTTACTAGCAGCATGTGTATCATCCCAAAAGAAGCATTTCAGGAAGCATTCTTTTATGGCAAAAATGCTGGATTTGGTACATAGACTCAGGAGGGGACTACAGTAGAGCATCGATTATCCGACCCCCGATTAACCGTCACATCGGTTACCCGACTGTTCTAGTCCGCAAATTTCAAATGTCTGCTAGTGATGTGGCACTACAATATTTGGCTATATCTTGGCTACTTTAATATTATTTTTGTTAAATTTTTGCGTGTTTTAGCTGGCAATACTGGCTCGACCATTGAAGGGAGGCCAACATTTAAACTTGACTTAATTTTCTAATTACGAGTGGTTGTTTGTTTTGTGAGCAATAAAATAATTTAAAAATAATTTTTAACGATACAACATTTTAATGATAGATTATTTTTTTTTTAAAAGAATTTGTTAGGCTTAACATCGATGAAAATTCAACGTAAAGTTGGTTAATAGCAATATACTAATATACTATACTAATAATGTATTTTTTTCATTCTTTTCGGTTATCCGACCAACCTGAGTCCCCAATTGAGTCGGATAATTGATGCTCTACTGCACTTCAAAGACAACAAAACTGACTAACTTCTTGATAAATACAACTTCTATTTGTAAAGTTTGCAAACTTTCTGGAAGACCTTGTATATATACACACAGGATCTTCTAAAATAAAGGCTACTATTTTAAATTACTGTAATTATGCTAATTATTATCTATGAAGTATGCAATTTATACCAATTGCTAGAGTAACTGTCATGGGCATTTCTTCCATCTGCATTCAAACATCTATTGTCTACCATCTCAAACAAAAATGGCAACTTACAACAGAGGTAGTCTCTGCAATTAAGTATTTCTGCAGGTTCTGTAGTTTGCAAAGCTGGAATCGATTATCATTGTGCAACACGAGTATCTGCAAGAGCTATAGAATTGCGACTGCTGTGAGAGGAGTGACAACAGATTTGCTATAGAGAGCATGGGAAGAATTTGAGTATTGGTTAGATGTGACAAGAGGTGCACACATTGAGAAACTGTAATGGAGAAATTTGAAACTTGGATAGTTTTTCAATGTATATTGCAATGTTCTCAGACAATAATTAACACAATTACAATAATTTAAAATGGTAGCATTCTTTTTGGAAGACTCTGTATATAGAGAATGTATAAAATTTAAAACTGAAATATAATAAAATCATAAATTGTCCACATTTGCTAAAATTAAAAATATAAACAAACACAAAGTAAAATTTCTAAAATCTAACAGAATTAATCAAAGTCTCTGCTATTTAAGTATTTCTGTAGGTACTTTTGATATCAGCTTCAATAGACTAAGTTGAAATCAAACATATATTTGCAATAAAACTAGCTCATTTTTATGCAAGGATACAAAATGTAAAGTAGAATCAAGATAAGATATTGGAAAAGTTTAAACATCTCGCTTTAACAAATTCTCAGAAATATGTAAGATTTTTAAGCAATAGATCACAGACAAATTGATATATAAACAGCAGAAATTTGAATTCGTTGCCTAGAACCATTGTGGCCAAACTGCAGCTCACAGGCTATATGGCTCATCTATACCCATAATTATGGCTCCTGTATAGTTATAAAACTTATTTTTATAAACTTGAGACACGCTACACACATACGCAACATTATATGTATCAATATAATTATATAAAAGTCACAATAAGAGTCTGGAAGAGCTGCAGTTTGGCCACCAAATGCCTATAACATAGAAGTTGTGATTCAAATAATAATTCACTGGTTTTTGTTTTACTTTTTATATATAAGTATTAAATATATTTCAACATTCTGTTCTACTTTTTATTTGTCAGTAACAAAAAGTTTTAAAAATTATTTTGATTGTTTATTTTTTATAATAAAGAATTCATTTTGTATAAATTTTAATGTTAAAAAAAAAATCATATTTTTACTAATATCAACACTATCTCAAACTGTTTGCAATGTTTAATAAATACTATCACTGTCCAAAATTAAAGCCAAAAATCATTTTTCATAAATAATGATTTAACAAAAGTTAGAGAAATTATTCCAAATATTAATTTTAAACACAATAAATCCATTCCTCCAGTCAATTTGCACATTAAATTTTGCAAATTTTAAATGACCTATTTAAAATAGTGGGACAAAACTTATTTTCGTCAAAAGCACAAAAAACATTTTTCGACTAATAATGTATGGTATGCATTAACCCAATTTGACAGAGTGGAGAGTTGAATATACACCAGAACTGTTGATTGCAGGACACTATTAAGAGGTTACTTTCAAACTGAAGAAATAACTTTGAAGACTGGATAAATATCAACACCTTAGACAATACCGTATAAGGATTACTACAGCACATAACCATCACTGTATTCTTTTAGTAATAATATACTAGACAATATTCTAAAGCAGTAGTCAACAATTTTGAGCTAGTAGCAACACTCGATTTTTGGTAGTAAACCAACAGACCAGTATCACATTGAAGACGCTCTTATGAAAAGTGATGCTAAAGATTTTTTTTTATATACACAAAAACAAGCAATACAAATAATATTAAAAAAGTAAAAAATAATTAGCATTTTAAAATTAGTTTTTGAAATTTAATGGCACATCAGCAAACCACAACAGAGAGAACCACTGCTCTAGGGTAATGGCAACTAAACAATTTTTTTAGAGGCCGATTTCAAAAAACAAAACATTTGCGAGTCACGACTCGACGGGTCTCGAGATCGGGACGCCGACAGACCACGGCCCATCTCCCGGTATACTCCGTAAACGAGAACGGCCAAACACACGGACCGGCAGGCCTAAGGCCGGACGTCCCGGTCCGGTCTCGGGCGTGCCGGTCCGTGCGTACCTAAACAGCGAGTAACCGCGGCACGGACTCGTCCGGAAAAGGATCCGCACCGCCACGGGGATAACTCAAACCCGGAACCCGGGGCACTCCGAGAAGACGCGGCGGTACGGCCGGCGGAACCAAAGAACGACCGGGCAACGGGCACAATCGAACGCGAAAAATTTCAACCGCCGCCACGAAAACAGACCGCCGCCGTCGCTTTCTCCGGTCGCCCGACATTTCGGGTCCGTTCGGGGAAATCTACAGCTCCGACCGCCTCCACCGGTCGGAATCGGAGCCCTAGGCATCTAACCGTAACGTTTTTTGGTTTTAGGTGCGGCGTAACGCGACCGTCAGAAGCAGAAACCGTTAGACTGCATTTTATTTACTTTTCGGAGGATTTTGGACTTTAATTCGAGACAAACTTAAAATTTGCTTTCGAAGTATTTATAGTTTAGATAATTCGTCATAACAAATAAGGAGATTGGAAAGAAGCTTCGATCCATAAACAGGTTCCCCGATAACGACTAATCGGAACGTCGTTCCAGATTCGTCGACGACGTGTCAATTACAGTAACTAGCGTCAAAGACTAACTTCGTTTACGTAACACAAGAAAGTAGAATAATAAATTTCGGGCAACGAAATCGCGATTGAATACGATAGTAATATATATAACAGGTTCGACGTCGACGTAACGGGAACGTCCAGAGATTAATAGAACTTAGAGAGGAAATAGAAAAGGTACGTACTTGGAGGTCGGTACAGTTCCATGCTGGGTTTCGGAGTTTTATTTTGGAAACCGACGCGTCTGACTAGCTTGGCGGCTTCTTGTCTCTTCACCGAATCGTCTTTGAACTGCACGGATAATCGGACAGGATCAATAACACGCCGGGCAATCGTTACGCTCGTACCCGGAGGAGGAGATTAAGGAAACGTAACCGGTACGACGAGAGTCTCGCCCCGGGCGAATCCAAAATCACCCGGACGGATACGGAAACGGAGAACGTAACGGGGGAATTTACCTGTTGCTGTCGGAGGTGCTGATTGTGTTCGATTTTTTTGACGAATCCGTGTTCCATGTTCAGACCGGGAGATCTGGCTTCTTGATTCATTTCTAGACGGACGAGGAACCACCAAATAAAATCGAACGTCGGCGTCGTGTACGAAGGCCGTGTACCAAGATTCTTTCTTTCTCTACGAATAAAACGAAACGAAAAAGAACATCCGAATAACGCATTCCAACTAATTACGTGGCCTTCGATTTTTTAATATCGAAAGGCAAAATTTGTCGTCCCATCGCTGACGTATTATTAAACGGGCGGCAGACAAATAGAGGAAGAGATAAAATACCCGGAAGACGGTACGGCGCGGTCGAAAAAAATAAAAAAGGAACGAGAAAACAATGGCAAGGTCGACGATCTCGGTTCAAATCGCCTCGGACGCGCATATAAAAATAAATAAATCAAAAATGGCGGCCGAAACCGGAAATAAAAACGGGAAGGCTTTCCGACATTCCGACACAACGAATTCCCCGCATTCTTTTCGTTTTACCAAACAAAAACATCGGAGGTTGGTAATTTTCGCGTCGGCGCGTAACTAGAAACGGCGGATATCGGGTAGGACGAAGTGGGACGAAAATAAATTTGGTGACTCATTTCTCGTTACGTAAATACGAAGAGTCGGAAAAGACGCCTTCAATTCCCTGCGAATTAACTAGTTTAATCGCACGCGTGGCCGAAAAATATCTCGAGTCCCCCTTTCTTCCCGTCTACCATTTTATTTTATTTTGAGTCGAATGATCCGTGTCCAGAGACTAAAATGCTTTTTTTTTTAATTATTTTTTGTCGATGGGCCAGACGAAGCGTTAAAATAGGAGACGTTTCTTTCGAAGTTTACCAACAGAAGTTGCGCTGACTCTGCAAAAGCGTATGTCGTCACCCGTCTAATTTTAGTAGGTTGGTCCGACGCCTTCCTCTCTCTCCCTCCGATACTCCGACTAAAAAATGGCGGATTTTCTCCTCTTTTATTACGAATTTACGCATTTAGCGCATCGGTATTTATGGAGTGATTACCGATTTAACGAGTAAATTAAAAAGGTTACGCCGTCCTAATTCCACATTTTTCCGAGTCAAATAAACGGCCGGGTCGTCTCCGTTGGCCGCTAATCGAACCACGTGACTCGGAGAATCGTCGACGTCACGTGGTCCGAAGCTGCCATCTTATTTTGTTATATTTATTATATAAAGAGTGGCGATTTTATTTATTTATAAATTTACGCGGGAAGATCGCGTGATTGCCAACGTCGGAAAACTTACGTCGCGATTTTACCGTAGGGTGGGGGAAGGTAGAAGGTAAACATTAAGCGTTAAATGGAAGGAAACTCGACGTCACTCACCGATTTAGTCGTTACAACGGAAAATAAGTCGAATGTGAAACAAGAAGAGAATGTCGTTACAGAGCCTTCTTCGTGTCGAACTCGAGCGTCATCGTCGAGCGACCGTCTCTTCGTCTCTGATGGGTTCTTCTGATCCCGGTCCAGCCACCAGCCGAGGTGGCCCATTGCCAACTTTCTCGACGCCCCTCCCGACTTCCCGCCCTTTCCGAAAGTCGCCCTCTGTCGGAATTTCGACCCTTCCGCCGATTTAAAATAAACGCCTCGTTTACCCCGGGAAAATTACACGTACTTGGTCTTTCCCGCTCGTCTTCTAAATCCGCAATCCGTCGAACTTTGCGATTTTTCTCCGACTCCGCTGTAAAATATTACGCTCTGGTACTTATTGCGCCGCTTATTAGCGTGTCGTCATTGTTGAGTAACTTTTGTTCTTAACGTTGCCGCAAGTTGGAATGATTCAAAACTTTTGCGCGGTGTTTCGTACGATAATTAAAACGCGTCTATTCTTTAAAATCGAATTAATTTGTCGATTTCGGAATTTATTTTCCGAAGATCGTAGTGAAGTGACGACCAACGAGAAAAATTCGAAATTATTTCCGACCGTTAACGGGTTGTCTCAAAAAACAAGCGTGATTATCGTCTATTTTTTTTTTATTGAAATCATCACTGTCACCGTATATTTTTAAATTTTACAATGCATTTTTTTTAGGTTTCGAAATAACGAAAACAATTTTCTCCCTATTTATCGTCGGTGAAATCGAGAGTCGTCTTCTTCTCTTCTGAAATTTCAACAGGAAAAATTAATTACCAGATTACTTTTAATGAATTAAATTATTAAATTCATAGATTACGTCTAAGAAATTATCTCTGGTTTTTCTGATAAACCTATTTATCCCATTTTAGTAACGTTACGCTCTTCCGTAATGCCCAACTTAAAACTTAAAGCGGCACTAAGCTACAACATATAAAAGATCATTCGAGATACAATAGCGAGGTTGCGGCCGACGTTTTCAACGCGAAAACGTGTACGTCGGACGTTCAGCGCCACCATCTTGTAAGCCTAGAAGTTTGACAAAGGTGTTTGGAACGTCTAGCTTCCACTGACGTTCCAAACACCTTTGTCAAACTTCTAGGCTTACAAGATGGTGGCGCTGAACGTCCGACGTACACGTTTTCGCGTTGAAAACGTCGGCCGCAACCTCGCTATTGATACATGTAAAAAACGTGAGGACCTAAGTTGCAGCTTACGTGTAAATCCGGCCCCGCCCTTTGGTTATGTTCTACACCAGTGATTCCCAAACTTTTTCGAGCCACCGCCCTCTTGATTCAATAAACCCCTTATATCCAACGCCCGCAACCGTATCCCAACGTCTCCTAACACGTTTTCCCTTGTGTGAGAAAGGATTGGAAATATTTTTAAAAAAACTTTTCTATGAACATCACACCTTGAGTCTTTACCGTAAGGCTGTGTACACACTAGGCGTTTAGCGGAGCGTGCGCACTGGCTCGGTTTAGAAATGGATGTGGAAGTGATTGCTTGTGTGTGGCTCCTCTATCGTCGCTATAAAAGACGACGGCAGAGGCAAAGAGAATTTTGGGTGCACCAATATTACGAGATAGACTGACGCATGGAATGTTTGCGACGTTGTATTCAAAACTAAGACAAAATAAATTCAAGTTTTTTAATTCTTTTAAAATATCTATAAAATCCTTTGACGAAGGTTGGTCTCTTAGATTTCATCAATAAATAGATAAGTATCGAAATGATCGGTCTCCATTTCAGCACATATATCTCAAAGCGCTCGGCTGACGCCCGCAAAACGCGCGTTTTAACAAAAATCTATAAACGCGCGCTTGGCCAAAAGCGCGCGTTTGAGTGTGTACGCCTACATAGAACTCTTGGTTCTTTAAAACGCGCGTTGAAAAACGCCTAGTGTGTACAGGCTCTAAGTTGTTCTCTACGTCTAGAAACCATTAAACGCAGTGTTTCTTCTTACCCGTTTTAACAAAAGAAAGGGAAAGGTTGTCAGTGACCCCAATCCTGCCTACTGTTACGGTTCAGTACCCTGCCACCAACTTACTTCATTTCGCCTCCCAGATTTACTCACCGCCCACTTTGGGAATCACCGCTCTACACACATTCTAGTGTTGGGAATACAACATTATCTAAAGAATTTCGTTATTTTTGTACATAGTTTTGATTCTGGAAGTACCTCTTAATACTCCGGAACGCATAATTAAGAAAAACAAATTTATAAAATAGATCCCATTTATTATTGCATTCCCCTGATAAACGGTGAGGTGTGATTAAATTTTGGGAACGCGTCAAATCACGTACGGCCCTAAGAGAATTAATTATGCAAGTTTCTTACCGACTTCTTCCTCTTCGGAGTCGGCTTCTTCGTCGGTTTCGAAAGTATTTTCCGGTATATTGTATAATCTAATAACAGGCTGTAAAAAAACAGAGTTGAATGTGCGGATATTTTACGTCACGTCACCCGAGCCAATGATTACGAACTAACCTTATTGGGATCCTTTAATATCAGGTATTTTCCCTGTTTCAATTTCATGCAGGTATCAATGATGCAACGTAGGACACCCCAGGCGTTATCCATGTTGAGATTGATTTGATCGGCAAATTCCTTCGGTTTGAATTGCTGAGTGCCGAGAATGGCGTGCTTGGACGAATCTCGTATGTGAACTCGCGAAACGTAACTTGAAAAATCGTGACAATTCGTTAAACATCGTAACTTAACAACAAATTCTCGAGAATAGAGCTTAATTACCCGAATTTGATCTGATCAGAACCGGCCAGAAGAGCCTGAACTGTCCACTTTGCCAGTTTGCAAGAATTGTTCTTCAGTTCGTTGGCCAAAACGGCACCTCGCTGCGTGTCTAATTTCTGCCGCCAATCGATACCTCCCGAACACTGATTTAAAAAAAAAAATCGGTTTACCCACTCATTCTACTGTTCTACTATAATTTGCACTATATTCTCCAGAATGGAGAATATAACGCAATACAAGATTACGAACGTACTCTGGGATCCCATTCATTAAGAGCTTTAATATTTATGAATTGTAATTCGCCATTGGGTCCGTGCATGACGGCATCGTGTTCGCAACGAACAATTAATTCGACGCCATCTCCCAGATCGTACTTTCTGTATCTGTAAGCTACAGACGCCACTTCCCCTTCCTCGTCTTCTTGGATGAAAGGATTCGGATTTTCAAATTCGTTCTTTTCTTCTCCCTTTCGAAAAATTGGTTGTATTAGCGATCATTTTTTAAATTAAGAAAATAAACCGCAATAATTTCTTTTCCTTACCATTTTCAGAACTTGCTGGGAAAAGTTGTGATTGATGAAAGTAGCTTCTAAAGCTAAGCTTCTGGGTGAATTAATGTTATTTCCTTCTTCGTGAGGAGGTTCTGCAGCAGTTTCGTTCACGGTTAATAAGTCTTTAAAAAAAAGGGGGAAAAACAGGTTTACAAAACCGTTTTTAAAATTTATTCGCGGCTTACGCAACGTTTCAATTTACAAGTTTACCAAATTCGGATTCGTCTCTCTTGTCGAAGAACAATTTATTTCCGACGTGCTGAAAGAAAAATGTACGCATTGTTAACAAGTATTTGTAAATACAGGTGCATTCGTCGAACTACACAATATTTACCTGAACTACGATATCCCAGGAATAAGCGGACCTAGTAGCACACATGAGAGTAGCCACAATCGAATCCGTTACGAAGACGTTTCCTTCCGTTTTAGTAAGCTGTTAAAATACAAAATTCTATTGTAAGGTAGAATTACAATAAAACAATTAACTAAAGATTTGGCCAGAAATGTGTTAAAAATACGAAATTCTTCCAATAAATAAAGATATTCATTTCTACGAAAGCACAGTTCAGCAAATTTTATTACAGTATTTATTTTAATTAAGAAATATAATTAAGACGTATTCTAATGTAATCTCTGTACGATTGGTCCCAAACACAAATTTATCGTCAGTCACAAAATGCGAGGTTAATGGGTTATTACTTTATAGAATTTACAAATAAACTTCAAAGTATTTAATTAGAATGCCTCAATGTCCTTTTTTTTTTCTAAAATATAAATTTTCGTCTATAATAACGTATCTTCTATTACCAGGACTTATTATACTGGTACAGAAAAACATTTTTTATTTTACTTAATATACTTAGGTATATTAAGTAAAATAAATGTTTTTCTGTAAAACTTTGTAATATTTCTTTAGTACCAGTATAATAAGTCCTGGTAATAGAAGATACGTTATTATAGACGAAAATTTATATTTTAGAAAAAAAAAACTTTAAAGTATTTAAAAGTTGTTTGTATTTTTTTGAAATATATGTAATTAATGGAATTAAATCAATAAAAAAAATTCTAGATACTGTTTATCCCATACTATATTCATTATAGTTCATTAATTAATATCCATAAATAAGAAATTAGTTAAATTTTATATTTATATTAAAAAAGTGAATTACCCTTTACTCTATCAATCTATCTCTATGTTCAAGATAAATTTTTTCATCCCAACCAGCCTCATTTGTATCAAAGTTTAGTTACTATAAGAAATTGATGTTTTATCCTACATCTAAATCATTAAATATTGCAGTTTCCAGAAAATACCATTTCAAATTGCATTGCTTTTTTTATAAGGAAATTCTTCAAAAAATGTAATACATCCAATTTACACAATACAGTACATTACTTAATTTTCAAAAGTTTTTCTATCATTCATTTTATTTTATTCTTGGGATCGGAATAAAATGTAGAAAATATTGCTTGTATTAACAGTTTATAGGTCAAATAATGCTCAAATTCAATATTTATATCTGACTTATCATATTAACTATGAAAATCATCATTTGTGAAATTAATATTTACTTGTTAGATTTGTCACAATACACAGGCAGCCAAAAAGTTCCTGGAATTGTGGTATAGCATTATAATGATAAGATATATACATACCTTATCACCTTTAAAGTGGCTCCCTTCAGCACACACACATTTGCCCCATCAATCCTGCCATTGTTGAAAGCATGGCTGGAAGGCTTCTTTTAGAATATTCAGGAGTTTGGTCACTGCTACCCCCTATGTCAGTTGTTACGCCGTTTCCTCTGAACTGCATCATGCACCTATGCAAAACTTGCATGTAGATATGACAGTAACATTCTGTCCAGGCAGTACAAACTTATGGTGCATTACACCATCCATCTCAAAGAATGTAATGAGCACAAGGACCAAACATTTGAATATTCCAAAAGAAGCCTTCCAATGGTGTTTCCAAAAATGGCAGGATTGACAGGGCAAGTGTGTGTGTGTACTGAAGGATCCTACTCAGAACGTGATTAGGTAAGCATTTCAATATGTCCTACCATTACAGCATTGTACAATTATGAAAATCTTTTGACTGCCTGTGTATTTCTTAATAAAACTCTTGTAGAGCATTATCAAATAAAATGCCAAATCCAAGCAAGTCACATCTGTTCAAATATAATATAATCTGTTGAATAAAAATGTTTTGAATGAATACAAGCCATTGTATCTTTACTTTTCGACACATCTCGTATAAATCCAGCTACACATTCACTTACAAATTATTATAAAAGTGGATTCAATTAAACAATTTACCTAAATTAAAAATGGGAATACATTTTTAAAATCTTATATTAAATATACAGTAGTTCCTTGTTATATCATGCATATCAGAAGAGGAGACAAACCAAATGAATGGTATAACTGATGTTCAAAAGATGATATCCATCTGTTTTGTCAATTTTTAATCTCCACGCCAACATACTTTTTTATGAGTTTCATACAATAGTAGTTTCAAGGTCAATAATTGGCAATATTTCTTTGCCAGTAGAAATTTCAATATTAAAAAAATTATTGGCTAAAATGCTTTTATGTTTGGAAGAAAAAAAGCACGATATATCTGAATGAATGCTTTAGCAAGGAATTACTGTAAGTCAATGCTAATTTTAATAATGTGGCCATTTCAACAAATATAAGTGAAAATAAGTTTTATGTGATTTGAATACAATTATCGGTTTCTGAAAAAAAGCACTTACTTTGCGAATAATAGGATCATCAGTTGTTGTTACCTTATGGAAAATGCGATTAATACGTTGAAGTTGCTTTTCTAATTTACAAGTAACACGATCATATGATTTATCATAAAATTCTAATGCACCGCAAGTATATCTAAAAAGAAACCAAATATTTATTAATTAATTTATTTAAAAGTAATTATTTCAAAGTATTAATTAAATTAGAAATATAATTAATAAAATAATTAATACTTACACATCTTTTCCATCACCAATTCCAGGCAAAGATAATTTACTTAAACGAGGAAAATCCATTTCTTCAATAACTTCCCAATCAGGTCTAACGGCAACAGAAGCATCACGATTCTTTACAGGAGCTTGGCCTTTTTGATCAAATTTTTGACGAAGTTGTTTTTGCCATTTCCGAACTTGTTGTAAACGATCCCTATAAATATAAANGAAGATATTTATCTTAATTATAAAAATATACTAGCATGTTTTTTAATTTTTGGAACCTAACCCTTCTTTTCGTATTAGTTCTTTGTTTCGTATAGCACGGATTCGCATAACACGGCAATTTTTTGGAACGTAACTACCGTGTTATACGGGGGTTACCTGTATTTTGTTATTTGAAAGGTCTGTCATGTTGAAGTAGAGGACTTGCTGTGACGTCACATAGATCCAAGGTCATGCTAACAAATATACGGGACCTGGCTATCCTTGTAGTTTAAAGTCCTTGGAGGATCCGGTTTTAATTTCAAACTGTTCAAAATTTTATTAGTGTCTTGTCTCGGATCTTTCGCCATCTAGTGACTCTGTGAATCTGGCCAAACTCATAACAAGCTTCTTTAGTAAGGTTTTATGCTCTGAGAGCCAGCTTAAGAAGGTTAAAAAGTTTCAAAAGTACATACTACAACATTGACTACAAATCTATAAAAGAAAAATAGTAAAAATTTATTTCAATAGAGTTTCTCCAAGAACAAATAAAGTTTAGGTATGCAATGTTTTTGAGACCCCGGTATCAATAAAGTTTAAACTAATTTAAACTTTACTGAAAATAATACATAACAGCGAGTTTTCAATCCAAACTGCCTTTTACAGATTCCTGTTATGCATAAAGACATGCAGATTTTGTGTTTAAAGTTTAAAGAAAAAAGTCGAAAATTGTAGTTTGGTTAATTATTTTTTGATATTAAATTTAAATTTACATTGAACCTTAAACAGTAAACAAAAAAGACCAACAAATCTTTAACTTAATACCAGAAGAAAAACCGAAAAAAGCTTTCCTAAAGTGCCACAAAAATTTATGACATCAAACGTCTGCAGAAAATTCATTTTGCGAAAGTTGGGAAACATTAGATTATTTCAAATTCTACTGAGATTTGTTGTCACGAGAAGCTGCGGATGTATTATAGAAGAAAACATGAAGAATATTGCAACGGTTTGCACGAATTTCTGATATTTTGTCAATTAAGTCCTGTAGTTTTATTGTGCTATCCGAATAAACACTTTTAATTAATCTGCATTTTTTTAAAGTTAGGTATCTCTTATTATCAATATCACTGTCGTTTCAAAACTCGAAAAACCCTATCTAAATGACCCGCCGAAACGCATTACAATGCTTCGTCTCTGCAAATAATGTCACTACCAATGTCTATATCGTTTTTGGCGCTATTTGGGCCTGCCTCTGCACGTCTTATATGTAGCTTAATGGAATTGAGTTTATTCTCAGAATTTAATGCACCAATTTTGATTAAACATTCTCATTTTCCGTTAATTGCAACGACGATTCCAAAAATGCAATAAAAATTGTGATCCATGATTTCGTTTTCGAGATACAATAGAGACAAAATAACAATGTCTATGCTCCCTAATGAAATTGAGCGCGCATAACAGAATTTAGGGGACGAAAATTTAAAAAAAATAAAGTCAAATAAATTATTTCGGAGATGAGGTTTATATTTCTTATTTTACAAAAAAAATAAAGTCAAATAATTAATTTCGGAGATGAGGTTTATATTTCTTATTTTACATAAGAACTAAAGCTTGATAATCAGATTCTCAAGTTAAAATCTTCAGCAAGCTATGAGTTAGCTAAATATGCAGTTTGATACAAAAATAATCAGGTTGACTAATTCAGAAACTAATACCAGAGGTGAAAAATACAGTATTTGACTATAAACTGTGTTTTCGCAATGCAAGGTATTTTTCTGCATGATTGGAAAATATCTGGTTTAAGAAATGTGCACCTCAACATCAATTTTTCATGAAACTTAAGAAATTCACAATAGAAACTTTTGAAGTATTGAATGCGCCTTTCAATATAAGTATTCTATTTCTCATGTGCAGGTTTTTGATTTTCAACAATTCACAATTGATTTTAAAAACATAACAAAAGTGTAAAGATAATAATCACTCATATCATCTATGAACATCAATTATTAACAACATTGAAAAAACATAAGATATGATTCAAAGAGACCATAAGTTGGATATTGTAATAGATGAGGCAGCATGCATCTAACAGAGCATCAGTGAACTGCAATATATTAAGATGTGTTCTGATATTGACTGATTAGTTCATTGATGCGGCAATATTTTATTAAAATATAACATACTTAAATCTAAAGGTGAATGCACATGACTGACAAAATTAAGGCAAATTTGAATGATAATGACTGTTACTATCAATTGTCGCTTTCAACCTCGACAATTACAATAAATGATTGGTTGAACCTGTCATTGATGCTCAATTTCACTTTAATTTGCTGCCGTTGTGCATCTGCCTTAACTATATTACAGTAGAGCATCAATTATCTGAAACAATTCAGGACTGGGGCTGTTCAGATAACTGATCATGTATTAAAAAATATATTAACCTATCCCATGTTGAAATTTTTCTCCATTGCATGTCACTTCACATTGAATTTTTGCCTAATGAAATTTTTTTAAAAGTAATAATCATGGCTATTGTATCATTAGAAATTATTTCTTTATTTTGCACAAACAAAATAAATATATACAAACATCGCTAGACCCAATACATAATATAGCTAAACACCAACCAAATGCCAAAATTCTATCGGGCTAGTTTAAGGCTAATTACTAAATGAATTATGTAACCAATTTGGCTCTAGAGTTAAGCATTAGGTGCCATCTTGTATTAACGTTAATAATTATAAATAAATTAATTAATTTAAATAATTTAGAACCACTGGGAGGAGATCCGACTGGAGGTCCAGATAGCGTAACTGGCAACACATCTGCATGGTAAGCAGGAGTTGTGGGTTAGAGTCCTGCTCCAGGCCAATTTTTTCTCCCAGCAGTACTAAATTATTTAACCTATTTGATGTTGAAATTTTTATTTGTTGCCTGTGATGCCATGTTGAATTTTCAGCGATGTTAAGCCTAAAATTTTTTTTTTTAAATAATAATCGTGTTNTGTAGCTTAACAGAATTGAGTTTATTCTCAGAATTTAATGCACCAATTTTGATTAAACATTCTCATTTTCCGTTAATTGCAACGACGATTCCAAAAATGCAATAAAAATTGTGATCCATGATTTCGTTTTCGAGATACAATAGAGACAAAATAACAATGTCTATGCTCCCTAATGAAATTGAGCGCGCATAACAGAATTTAGGGGACGAAAATTTAAAAAAAATAAAGTCAAATAAATTATTTTATTGTCAAAAAATATAAGAAATGGATTTATACAATAGAAAAAATTATTTATAATTTATAAAATTAAATCTGTTTGTTAAGTTATGGCAACGCAACACTTGGGCGATCTCAGATGGTGAGGGGACCCGACCGGATTCGAATTCGGGACCCCAAAGCAGTACGCTGGTATCTTGACCGCTTGGCTATCCGGCCTTCCATTGTGGGCTTGGTAAAACAAGCATATAGAAAAGAGGCCCTCTTATCACCCACACGGCGAAAAGAGATACAAATAAAGAATATCTACGACACTATTACACTATATAAGTATTTTACTGAAGGATTAAAAAATCAATTCGGTTTAAAATCTGCCAAGGAGAATATATTTTGGTTACGTCATTCATTACAATTAATCGAAAATATTTTCTCCATGTTCTCCCTACAACTTATTGATCGACTTCGCCGTAAAATTACTCACCATCATTTCCCGTATTATAATGATAACATTTGACAATAAAATTTACATTGACATTAAATAAGTTATTTTTTTAGATTATTTCTGTATAATTTAAATCTTAATTTTTAAAAAAAATTCAAAATTCAGTTAATTATTTTTATTATATATATATAAAAATTTTTTTAAATAAGAAAATGTCAATTATAAGAAGAGGGCGCTACTTAGTTAACTTTCTTGTTCACGCTGGTTGTATACTTCACAGCCACCTTTCTTCAATTTTATGACCACAAGCAGTAACATTCGACGCAGTTTAGAAACAAAAATGGATACAAATAAACTAGTGGAAATTTTAAAAGCGACAATCGATCCTAATCAAAGAGAAGTTGCCGAAAAACAATTAGATCAGGTAATTAATGAAAATTCATCCGACTTGCCGGCTTATGTTAGGCTTAATAAACGATTTAAAAAGTTTCTTAAGTTAATATTTCTACAGAAAATAACCATATAAAGCGATAAGAAATACTCAAAATTGTCGAAATTGTATTAATTTATATAAATAAAGCTATATACAATTGTAACATTGTAATGAATATCGTGGATGTGAAAGAATGGAGGAAGCACATGCTACACATAGGAGGTAAAACGTGTTAGGCTTAGACCATCCAGGATCTACATTATAATTCATTTTATGAATAGGTTTTTGTTAATTAAAACGGTTACAGACGTGATATTGAATGAATGATATTTAATTTTTAAATGTCAGGTTTAATTTTGTAAAATTGATAATTATTCGAATGACGTTTTTTTTTTGGTTTATTTTTTTATTTTGGATATAATAACGCGATTAGTTTGTCTTTGAGTTTTTTAATATTTATTATGTTATTCAAATTGATTAAAAAGTATTAAGTTTTAATTGCTGTTGGTTTATATCTTATTGTAACTAATATTTGTTGTCATTTATCTTTATGTGAATTGTGGTTTCACTAGACCTATGATATTTTGAGTTGTTCTGACTTGTGCATTGTTGGAATGCAAGTTGATTAAAAAGAGTAGAGTCGAGTAAAAAGAATAGAGTCGAGATTTTAAAAATTTATTTCCTTATAGTTGTTGATATTTTTTATTTAAATACAGATTTATGATTGGTTTGGTTTTGATTTCTTGTTTACAATAATGCAAATTTGTAAAAATGAAACGGACAGTCGATTTGTCAGTTTGGATGTTTATCGTCAAATCATGGGAAAATGCCTGGACATATTTTAGTCGAACTTCATATTTTGAATCTATCAATTTGGGAGAAAGTTAAATACACGTATCTCAAAATCTATATTATATATAAATTAAGCTGTAATGGATTTATGTCTGTCTGTCTCATTGTCTCTCTGTTTGCTACATGGCATGGCAATATGTGAATCGGCAGCTGTCTGTCAAGTGATTATCTGAAAGAAAGTTGTAGTATTGAAGTATAGTATTATGTTTGGAGAATTAATATTGAAAAGTAATTAGTGAGAAATTAGCAAAATGTATGAGAAGTTGGAAAAAGTGATCTCTCTGTGCTGGTTGGTGCTACATTTATGTTTGGTGAATTTTTCGGATGGTTTTGTGTTGTGTTTGTGATTTCTTAGGCGATATATTGGTATATGTTTTAGTTATATAGAAGATTGATTTAACAGAATTTAGCATGCTTACTTGGAAATGATGAAACCTTGACTGATCTTCAAGAAAAAGTATACAGTTAAAACTGTCTAGGGATTCTGAGAACCAGTTTTTGAACAGGCTAGGCTTAGTTTCCAGAGAGAACAGCAGAGCAACTTCTGAGAGTACTTCTGAGCATAAAGAATGACTTAATGCCAATAGACTAATACTACGTTCGCACACAATCCATGATTCACTTCAATCTTAATTTACCTACAATCTGGATTGTAACTGTCGCCAGACAAACATTGAGTTGTTTGCACAGGCAGTCCGCTTGAGAAGAACCTGGCTATTATATGCGATGATAAAACTGACATAACTATGTGGTAAGTCACGAACACCAACAAACAAAATGGATGGTTTGATTAGAAATAAATACTTTTTCTTGCCATATATTTAATAATAAAGACATCTCTCCGGATGTCTTTTTTTATTTCTCTTTGATAGCCCAACACATGTTCTGCAGCCATCTTGTATTTTCTTGCGTGCGTGGGATTGTGGGATCTCTCTTATGACTGGATCTAGTTTCAAGAACTCTCTCGAGTCAATCATGATTGAACCTCGTTTCAGTTGAGATTGAACAATTGATAGAGGTTGTACCACGGCATAGTCGCTGACCTTGGTCACAATCTAGATCGAAATGCTCGGTGCGAACAAGGTATAAGGATTTATGCTTTCCAAGATTTAGAGTGGTTGACACAACCCTGTGGGACATTCAAAATGTCAATAGTTTCTTTGGAGAAATCATCATTATTATTTATTTATTTTTTTCTTTTTGATGATTTCTGGCAAACCTTGCTCATGTTTCTGAGGGATCAGAGTAAATGAAATTAATGTCACTGAGGAGACCCTTTGGCCTAACATCAGGAAACATTCTTTGACACAGAATATGAGAGTACATCTTGAAGGCAATGGAAATTGCAGTTGATTTTCCAAACTATTTCTGTCAATTGGTAACAGCTTCATGTGGATAATGACAGAATTATTAATCTTTCTGAAGATCTTTGTACCTAGCTTTATAATATTTATGATCTCATTTTGTGTGTATATCCTGATTTTGAAAACATCAACAGAAAACCTACTTTTGTGGTTGTGAAAGAGGGTTATCTTGACTCCAGTGAAAGAAGCTGCCTACATCAATACAATGATTCTTAGTATGTTTCATGCCAGAGATACGACGGTACCCAGAAGTACCCGACCTGACATAGATGGCGGTACTTGTTTGAAAAAAAAAACGACTGTGTTTGAAAGTATCAACCTTATAAAGCTTAAGTTTGAAGACGTTACGTTGTATAGTATTTTTTCGGCAGCCATAAATAGTGACAATCTCAGTGAATTTGTAAACATGGAAAAAATTTGTCATAAAAATAATACCTTATACTGGAACTAGAAAGAATTAATCAAAATTATCACCTTTTTTATAAATTCCAGCAAATAATTTAATAATATAAAAACGTTTTCGATCGTCTTTAGCGATCTTCATCAGTTGAAAGAACATTAAAAATAGAACAAAAATTAAATTTACGAAAAAATAATAACTGCGCATGCATATTTATTTACTTTTTGTCTTATATCCCTAACTTTTTGTATTTATTCCGTTAAGCACTCATCATTACGCATGCGCAGTTATTATTTTTTCGTAAATTTAATTTTTGTTCTATTTTTAATGTTCTTTCAACTGATGAAGATCGCTAAAGACGATCGAAAACGTTTTTATATTATTAAATTATTTGCTGGAATTTATAAAAAAGGTGATAACGATGACAAATTTTAATCAAAATTATGTGATACAATACTTTCATTTGAAAGGTTTCAGTCCATCCAATATTAAAGCTGAGCTAGATTCTACTCTGGGGGAGTCTGCTCCCTCGTTTACAACAATAAAATATTGCGTGGCATAGTTTAAATGAGGCCGTACGAGCTGCCAAGACAAACATTGTAGTTGTTGACCAAGTGAGGTGACCATGCCAGAAATGGTGGGAAAAAAATCCACAAAATGGTATTGGATGACAGTCAACTCAAAGTGCGAGAGCTAGCAAATATGGTAGGCATTTCAAAAAGTGCTGTACATCACATTTTAACTGAAAATTTGGACATCAGAAAGCTGTGTGCAAGATGGGTGTCGTATTTGCTCACAATGGGACAAAAACAGCGTCGTGAGGATGTTTCAATCGAGTCTTTGGCAATGTTTCGCAGCAACAAAACCAAGTTTTTGCGTCGATTTATAACCATGGATGAAACATGGGTCCATCACTTCACACCTGAGACGAAAGAACAGTCGAAACAATGGACTGAAAGGGGAAAATCGGGTGAAAACAGTTCCATCTGCTGGCAAGGTCATGGCGTCAGTTTTTTGGAATTCGCCCAGGAAAAACAATCAACAGCAAGTATTATGCAAACTTATTGCAGCGCTTGAGTGATAAAATCAAGAAAAACAGCCACATTTGGCAAAAAAGAAAGTGTTGTTTCATCAAGACAATGCACCAGTTTGCACATCTGTTATTGCGATGGCCAAAATCAGTGAGTTAAGGTTCAAATTGCTTCCTCGTGCACCCTATTCACCAGATTTAGCCCCCTCGGATAATTTTCTCTTTCCAAACTTAAAAAAATGGCTTGGTGATAAAAGATTTGTCAACAATGAAGAGGTGGAGTCTGCGGTTGATGGCTATTTTGAGAAGCTCGACAGTTCTCACTATGAACAGGGTATCTAAGCTATTGTACTTTGCTGGAAAAAGTGTATCAAACTAAAAGGAGACTATGTTGAAAAAATAAAGATATGTTTTACCAAATTTTTTCTGTCTTTGTTAGGTTGGGTACTTCTGGGACTATCCTCGTAGTATACACTTCAGTCAATAAAGTCAAAGCAAGACAACATAATTTACTACTCTTCTGTGCTTTTGAATTTGGTTACTACTACTGGTCTTCTTGCACACAAAATAATGATAAAAATTGGCATGCCAATCATTCAGTATGAGCCCTCCTAAATTGTGCAGTTGAACCAGACTTCAGGTGAAAGCCCTCCTCAAGTATACAAGGTCTGTTCAAAAAGTATCGGACCTTTGGTCGGTAAAAATAAATTTATTGACTTTGAGGTACAAAACCCTAATCCCCTTCAAAGTAGTCTCCTTGGTAATGTATACACTTCTCCCAGCGTTCCTGCCATTGCTGGAAACACTGCTGGAACGCATCTTTTGGAATGGCCATCAGCCGGTCCGTTGGATTTTGCACGATGTGTTCTCTCGACTAAATTCAGGTTCCTTTTAGCGGCATTTTCAGCTTGGAAAATAGCCAAAGGTCATATGGAGCCATGTGGGGAGAGTACGGAGTGTGATGAACCACAGGAGTGTTATGTTTGGCGACAAAAGCCCGAATCAGATGCGCAGAATGGGCGGATGCGTTATCATGATGGATCTGCCAAGTTTTGATCGACCACAGATCCGATCATTTGCGTCGCACAGCATCGGAAAGACGACGAAGGACCTCCTGGAAGTACTCTTTTGCGATGGTTTGGCCTTGTGGTGCGTACTCACGACACACCACCCCACGAGAGTCGAAAGAACTGTCAACATGACCTTTGATATTGCTGCGGACCTGCCGCGCTATTTTTGGCCTCGAGGATCGTCCCCGAAAGCCTGCTGAATCTTGCGAGTGGTTTACGCTTGGGTATCGCCAAGGTTTTTGGCAAAATTTGATGTAATATTGCTGGTCACGTTG